TCATTGCTACCACTTCTTGTCGAGCCTACAAATGTTGGCTCTTCATGATTTAACGGGGTTTTCTTTTCTTTTTGAGAGTTAATGGGTTCATTTGCAAGGCTGAATATCAAACAGGTTCATTGAACTTTATTAGAATTAAGACGCACCTCTTGTATACATTAAGCGGCAAGCTCTGTCTGTCTGTGTGGGTATGTGTCCAGCGCTTTTCACTGAATGACTTTTGAGCCCCTAAACCGTTTGTTACCATACGTGGCATATGGCCATGGGTCCTCGAGCGCTTCGATTGGATAACATTTGGAGCTCGGATTAAGTTTACGGTAGCTACAGTAACCTATTTTTGAAGACGTGTTCGGAATGAACGGGATTATCACAATTTCCGAATGTACAGTGGCGAGAAATGGTGAGGGTACCTCTGCATAGAGATTCATAACTCCGTTTAAACTCAACCGAATGACTAGAAAATTTTTTTCTGGGACTACTGTTACGTATTGGAAGAGATCTATAATTTTTCTGTCAGAATAAATTTTCAGATTTTTTCAGAATTTTCAGTTGTATGCGAAATTTTTGAAACTGAAAACTAAATCTTTTTTGTGTGGTTTTCATAATTTGGACTCAAAAGTGTTGTAATGGGATCAAATAAACAAAAAATGTCGATTGACCAGATATCAACATCCCGGCTCCTGAGATTAAAGCCTAGAAGCTCGAAATGAGTCATTTGGTTCAAAGTGCATAACTCGTCCTTAAGTAATCCGTTTGGACTAAGAATTCATGAGATTCGTGAGATGAGACTTTAATATGCGATCAGAAGAAGGACGTTTGGAAATACTTCATTTTTTCGAATTTCAGTGTGTCACGGATGTGGTAGTGGAAGTAGCGAAATCCGAAAAAATAAAGTTTTTTCAAAAGTCCTATTTTTGATTGCATATTAAAATAGAGTCAAAACTTGATGCTCTCATGAATTTAAAAAAAAATTTAATTGCGCCTACTTGTTGCCGCCGGTGGAGAAAAGATTCAAACACAATGGGAACAGGTTTCGAGTGAGTGGGAGCTCGATAAACATTTTCCGAGACTCATCCTACTTGATGTTGTGCTCTAAAAATCTTCATTGCTGTGTTTTCTAAGCTTGTTTTGATAGTGGGCCATTTGATTCACCTATCAAAAGCGTAAAACACCACTACTGAAGAACGCTTAGGAAAACCACAGCCCAGGCGACATCATTTGGAGCAAAATCGATTTGGATGAGTTCCGAAAAATATTTTTAGAGTCTCGGAAGTTGTTTCGAGTCCCGCATATTTTGTGAGTGCCGGGTATTTTTATGAGCCTTTTGTCCAATAAAAAAGGATAACGGGTATTTACAAAAATCCCCTCTCCGACAAAATAAAGTCCCGTGTATTTTCGAGGGTCCCGAGATTATTTCCATGAGTCCCGAAAAGTAAATAAATACCCCTGGAAACTGATAAGAGCCCTATGTTTTAACATTTAGAACTTTAAATGGACCTGCTAATCCTCAAAAAGTCCAATGAATCCGTTCATTCTCGAAAAGTTGAAAAAATCCCCCATCAAATCATGAAGAGACCAAATCGTTGAAATCTTTTTGTACAACCTTTGAATTCTTCATACATACTGATCTGTTTTATTATGATCAAAAGTAAGATGAAATTTCAAACACTTTTTTTTTCCAAGTGAGGAACCAACTCATAATTTCCCACCAGTCTTTTCAAAACTCTTCCCCTACTCCAGATTCCACGTGGAGTACACAGAATGCGACCTATTCAATACTGTCAAAGCTGGCCTCAGCTTCATGAAAACTTTGGACTATGACGTCATCATCGGGCCTCCATGTGCACTTGCTTTGAAAACGATGGGAACCCTCTCCACAGTTTACAAGAAACCAGTACTTGGATGGGGATTTGCCAGTGAAGCCGAGCTGTCCGACATGTCTAGGTTCCCTTATGTTACTTCAGTAATGCCTAGCTCACAAACGTAGGTTGCCACATTACTAAAATAGGCTCTCAAAATAGAAAAAGGATTTAGTCTCGGTGTTGCGGCTTCTAAACTTTTGGAACTGTACGGTTGGGATCGAATTGCTATACTGTATTTCAAAAACGAGTTGAACTACTGTAATTCGGTGATTAAAGATGTCGAAAGTGCGTTGTACAGTGATTATGAAAAGGACACAGTGCACGTGGTAATGAAACATGAATTGGATATGACTAACAATCAAACTTTTATCTCAACACTTCAGCTGGCAAAAACCAGAGCGAGGAGTTTGTTTTGAAAAGAATTTATCTGAATTTCCAGACGGAAGTTTTTTCAGTAATCTTATTATGTGCTCAAAATGGAGCCGAGAAACGTTTCTACATGATTCAAGCAGCATTACAAGGAATGAATACCAATGAATACGTACATATTCTGCTTGCGTTGAGAAGTGTCGGGTTTGGAGTGCAGTCAGCAACTGGGAAGAAACCATGTGAGTGTTATCCAAAATGCTGAACGCATTAGCAAGTTACAGTAACCCAAAACGGTCTTCCTCCGATTTGGGAGTCCTTCCAAGCAGAACCAGATGGATTCGAAGATTTGGCTAAAAGTGTGGCAGCTAAGACGCTGGTGGTAAGAGGCCCAGTAGGATTCAGAGAATAAATTATGTTCTCAGATCGACACTAACAGTGAAGTGCTAGACAAGTCATTCTTGCAATTCATGACGAAGAACATAGTTCATGCAGTCCGGGCTCCACCTTTGAGTTGCTCGGAGCCGGAGTGTTTGGCGGCCAATGCGACAGTAAGCCGTTAGTCGTTACAGTAACCCCACACTCACGAATTTTCAGGGCATGGGTGTCTATGCTCGTCACCTTTTCGACGTCTTCTATATGTACGGAATGGCAATCTCTAACCTAAACTCTACGGATCCAAATGTTTATCGAAACCTTTCACAATTAATTCCTCTCTTCAAAACTCCCTTCGAAGGTATTTCTTTTTTAAGAATTCCTCCAATCAAAATGGTTTTCAGGAATGACTGGTGATGTGATGCTGAACGATGAGTTATCTCGAATGCCACTGTTCCAAGTTTATAGTCTGAACAACCAATATGACCAAATATCACTGATGAATATTAGTTTGGTGAATGACATTGCAAATGTCACGCTTGCCTATAAAAACGAAGACGTGGATGTTTGGCACTTCTGGGGTGGATCCCGTCCGTTGGATACTCCAATTTGTGGATTCCTCGGAAAATCTTGTCCTGTTCCATTCTTCGAGCAATATCAAGTTTTGATATTTGTTGTTGTAACCGTGGCAGCGTTACTTGTTTTGGCTATAATCGTCTGTTTAGTTTCGATGATCAGAAATCGACGTGCAGAGCAACACCGTCTGAACTCACTTTGGCAGATACCAGCCATAAAATTACAAATCCCAAATAAGACAAGTCATAGACGGAAGTCTATACTTTCGATAGATTCAGGAACCGTCTCTGAGGATAGTATATCGAAAAGCACTAAAGGACCGGGATTGAGCGAGTTCAATGAGAATTATGTGATACAAGTGTACGATAATGAATTTGTTCTGACTACTGCTCATCAAATACAAGAGTTGACACGTGAAGAAATAATTAAACTAGTGAAGCTGAGAAAATTGGAACATGAGAATTTGAATAAGTTCATTGGGATGTCAATAGATGGATCTCGATATTTGGCGGTTTGGAAGATGTGTTCGAGAGGATCCCTCCAAGATATTATATCAAAAGGGAACTTTTCAATGGATTACTTTTTCATGTTTTGTATGATTCGGGATATTGCAGAGGTAATTTTGGTCAAGAGAGTGATATCTTTTCCGGGGACTTTTCATGCAACTTTGCGTGAGCGTGTTGCAGCGCACGGTGTTTACGGACTCTCTTTTGCTGTATTACACAATTTGAAAACACCGCGCGCGCCGCAACAAACTGATGAAAAAAACACAGAAAACATAACAAGTCCCCGAAAAAAGTCTCCATAAGCCTGTTCTACCACCTGTCAGCTAATTTCCAATTTAGGGAATGAACTACCTGCACAAAAGTTCCCTTCGTGTCCATGGAAACATCCGATCCGCTACCTGTCTCGTCAACGACAGTTGGCAGGTTAAACTTGCAGATTACGGTTTAGAATTTCTTCAAAATGAAATGGAGCGGCCTGTTAAAACTCGACTTCTTTGGATGGCTCCTGAAGTTCTTCGAGCAAATATTCCAGTTGACCAAATGGCTCCATCAGCGGATGTCTACTCGTTTGCCATTGTTGCATCGGAGATATTAACCAAAAAAGAGGCATATGACTTACACAAAAGGAAAGAAGGTTATGAAGGTAACTCAATTAATTCCTTTGGTTTTTGTCACCATTGTGAAAATTTCAGAAATCGTATACTTGATCAAAAAAGGAGGATCAGATCTTCTTCGTCCCAATCTTTATACTGATGTAGAGGTCAACCAGACCTTACTGGCTCTCGTGAGAGATTGTTGGTCTGAAAACCCAAAAGACCGCCCGGCATCTGAAGACATTTGTAAAACTTTATTCGACATGACACCGAGAACTAAAGATAATTTGATGGATCATGTATTTTCAATGCTTGAAGACTACACTTCCAGTTTAGAATTGGAAGTGGAAGAGAGAACCAAAGAATTGAAATTGGAGAAGAAGAAGTCTGATATTCTTCTGGGAAGAATGTTACCAAAGTTAGTTGGTCGGGAATTGCAGAATAATTGAAAAATTTCCAGACAAGTAGCAGAACGTCTGAAAGCCGGGCAAGCTGTTGAACCTGAAAGTTTTGACATGGTCACCGTATTCTTTTCTGATTTGGTCAAATTCACGGATCTGGCCACAAAGTGTTCCCCATTCCAAGTGGTGAATCTTCTGAATGAAGTTTTCAGTAACTTCGATGAGATCATCGAAAAGCATGATGTTTACAAGGTACAACTTCTACAGTCATTGAAAATGACCGGTTCTGTTTTTAGGTGGAATCAATTGGTGACGGATATCTTTGTGGGGGGGTTGAACCCGAGACTTCTCGCACCCAAAGCGAGAATCATACCACTAGGCCATTCGGCCACAAGATTTAGATGGATCTTGGGTTTTCACCTTGCATTCTGTTGATATGCCGGACGGAAATAATGAAGTTTCGATACGCGGAGTAGGGATGTCTTGTTTGTCTACTTTTTGCCTTTCTTCCCATCTAACAAACCCTGCTTTCGTTTCCGCGCAGAAAGAAGTCATGAGAATCGAAGCGAATGTTTAAAACCAGGATCCATACCGAATTCCGCGGTCAAATGGTTTAGTGTTTTGATTTTCGCTTTGGGTGAAAATAGTCCGGGGTTCAATCCCTGGCTCGGCCCATTACTTTTTCAATTTTCAATCATCATTAATTTCAGACAAATTGTGGAGATGTCACTTCAATTCATGGAGTTTTGCAAAAACTTCCGAATACCGCACTTGCCAAGAGAAAAAGTTCAGTTAAGAATCGGCGTTAATTGTGGTAAGGGATCCTTCTAAAAATGTTCCATCCAGCAAGATTTTCTGTTCAAGGGCCATGTGTTGCTGGAGTTGTTGGCCTTTCGATGCCCCGGTATTGTCTATTTGGAGACACTGTGAACACTGCGTCGAGAATGGAATCCAATGGAAAACCATCTCTGATTCATATGACCGAAGCTGCTCATACTCAGCTGACTAATTATTTTCCATACCAATATGAAACGAAGTCGTGAGGAGAAGTCATCATAAAAGGCAAAGGAGTGATGGAAACATTCTGGCTACTAGGGAAAAAAAGTATCAGTAATCGATCGACTCCTCCTATTTCTCAAGTGAAGCAGATTCCACAAAAAATTCCCAGTGTTACAGATAGTATGGATGAGATAAAAATAAGATCTGTTAGTCCCTGGATTGAAAAAACCAGTGACAACGAGGATGAAGAGATGAGAAAAATTATGCGAAGGGAGATGATAAAGGTGTAGTTTACATGTTTTTTATTCGAATAAATAATTTGTCCAATCATTTTTATTTGCAAATGTTTATTAAAAATCACCGGCTCATATCCGAAACCCGGGTATTTATTTCTTTTTCGGGACTCATGGATTTCTCTAAATTTCATTAAAATCTTTTTTTCGATTCGGTCTTAAAATGATCGCAGAAGCCTACTGATTGTTTTGGAAAAAGATTTATAACGATTGAATCATTTTGAGACGAAGAAATTTTGGTTTTTGTGGAAAAATATTTTTTTTATACAGTGAATTTGTCTCGCCCGTTCCCACGGTCGAGACCTCGGTTATATACTTTATCCCCTCTTGTCACATGTCAACCAGTTCCACAACCTTATCAAGTCAATGTTCAACAAGTCTAGGCTCACAACGTTCACCAACAGCGAATGATCTACCATCCACCGCTAATTATGTCTCGCCAACAGCGTTGTCTCGCCCGCCAATTTCTCTAACCACTCTCTCGTTCCCCTTTATCTTTCCCCCTTTGTCTGCGTCTCGTGCGCGCCAAATCTTTCACCCTTTTGTTTACCTCTTGTTTATCTCCCCCTAATTTGTCATTCCCATAACTTTTCCCCGTCCCGTTCACTCGTGTAACTTTATTACTCTCATTCACGGTGACGGGACACATGATTGTCGGCCCCTACTAATTATTCTGATGTATCCACAACAGCGATGCCCAATAAAGCAGTGATGCAACAAGTCGTTCTCTACTAGCGCACGTTCCAGTCTCTTCTCACAGTTCGTTCTTCTAATTGGATGAGGGAAACCGTTGGCTCATCACCAGCGTCATACCCCAATCGCCACATGGTGCAATCGACCGTTAGGAAGTTTGATATTTCGAGCTTCGCAACGCTCCCGGAGCAGAGCAGCATTCGGATGGTTCGGACGTGTGAAAGGAGCGATGAATGATGCAATAGCGAGAGAAATTCATCGGAAATTCATCAGCGACAGGCAAAGAAGATGAATCTGCTCCACCGAACACCAGCGATCAACATTCTTGCCGAAAAACAACGAACAACCAATCGGAAGTCACAACTCGGAAGGAAAAGCGGTCGCTGGCAGTAAAACAGGTAGTGATTTAGCGTTTTTTCTCGGAAAAACTGTCACGAAGTGGGGCCGAAAGGCCAACTTCTCAGAGTTTGGTGGGAGGGGCCCGAAAGGCCCGCCCCGATAATTCCGGTGGAGTACTAGATTAAGCCACTTCGCTACACGAAAATTCAGTCAAAAACTATCGATCGATTGGATCTTCATGAGCGCCCGAGGACATTTTCGAGGGAAAAACGCTAAAATAACGAACAAATCGGCGGAAAATGCAGTCAAACCCTGTCGGAGCATGTGGCATCATCAAAAGCTGTACATTTTCACCTGAAATTAACAGCGACGAGCCGAATCATGAGGAAAACTTCTATTTCTGTGTCGTCAATCACCAGCGATCAATGTTTGTCTGAAAAACAACTAAACTTGTGGGAATTCGTTTCGGAGGATTTGGGTGAAGCGTAAAAGCGCTGAATCTGATGTCGACACCGACGGAGCGATGAAGCAGAAGGCGGATCAGGCAACAACAGCGATCGCTCGGGAGGAAGCAAGCAGAATGCTGGAAATTGATCGGAAAGGGCCATGTGGAGTCACGTCGTGTTTGGTGGAGCTATCAGCACATCGGATGCAGCGGCGACTAGTTGGTCACCAGTACGGTTTGTGAAAGTATTCTAGCTTAGAAACGATTCAATAGGAGTCGTAGGGTATCACTATAACTCCACAAACGGCGTGGAACCGTGAAAGTCGGACGTTGCTTCCTGAGTGGACCCCCTAACAAGGGTGACGTGGCAACACGCAGGATTGCTAGGCAAAGTCAAAGCCGAAGCATCTGTTCATGAGGACAGGAATTGAGAGCAGCGTAGGTTAGGTTAATCTTTTTTTAGTTTCAGACAACTTCAGCAAATCCACTGAACCCAATGATGCAACAGCGACTCTGAAATTAGTTTAGCCCCTCCTTTCCAGTCTCTCAAAAATTCTTAGTCTCTTATGTCCGTAACATTGTCCGTGATTTCGTTCGTGTTCTTTTGTCTTGTATCCATGTAACCGCACACACATTTTAGTCGCTAACCGCCCCTTCCAGTGCTAAACTCAAATCGATCGATAAATCCCGATACGCTAGGATGACATCAGTCGACGCACAGCAACTCTGAGCAATAGCGAGCAACAGCTTGGCAGGGACAACAGCGACTAGAAGATCATTTCATGCTGATCGATAAGAACTCAAACGAAGAAGATCAATACAACTACATTGAGGGAATATCATCAGCGCCAACGAAACAATTTTTTGGTCAACAAAAACCCGCTTGCTAATAAAAAATCAATAATCACACTTGATCGAATTCATCTTTAACTCATTTGTGCATATTGGTTAATTTCCAATTTAAATCTCTTCTCCACTAAGACGTCAACCTAAGACAATCGTTCAAATCAGATGGGCGACAAACCAAGAAAGCTGAAGAAGTTGTCAACAGCGATGGACACGCATCAACAAGTCAAAAGCCAAAAGCCTAATCCAAAGTTCACCGGGATAGAGTCCCCCTCTTCGGAGGGTCACGACAGCGGCCGAAAAACCCTTCGTTGGAATTCTCCTGTTATGGACAGAGGAAAAGGACCGAAGGCAACAGCGTCAGCATCAACTTGGGAAGAACGTCTGGAAAACAACTCGCTCCACACGCTTGTCGATCAAATCAGCGGCAACGGAGGAGACAAAAGCGAGGAGAACCAACAGCTCAAATCCATCTGCCTCTTTGTTCTCAACAAGTATTCACAACTCAAAGCCAGCCACGAAAACAACATGAGCCAACTCAAACCACGGATCGAGGATTTGGTAAATCAAATCCAACAAATGAAGTTTGAGACGGAACGAGCGGCCGAGATGTTGAGCAAAGAAGAAAGTGTTCAAGAAAGCTTCGTGACCCAACAGCGCTTCAACAACAAATGTTTTTGCTGCAAATCCAACCACCCCACCTACAAATGCGACATCTTCCCAACAGCGGAAGCAAGGCATCACATGATGGAGGCACTGAAACTATGCAAGGTCTGTGGAACCCATCAAACCGGAGAAAGATGTGTTGTGGAAGAGTCGTTGTCCGAGTGCAAGCACTGCAAAAAGAAACACCTTCTGGCGCTATGCGAGCACAAGTATGGAGCAGCAGCGATAGCAAAGAAACAAGAGCAAGTGTTGAAGCAACTGGAACGAAATGCCAGAAAGCAACTACGAAGCAAAAGCGGACAGAACATCCCGAAGCAGAAGAATCTTCTCGCGTCAAAATCTTCCAGAAGAAGAGAAAGACGTCGAAAAACAGGAAGAAAAGAAGAGGAGTATGCAGAGGAGACGTCCGAAGAAGAAGATGAGGAGATGGTAGAGGATGAGGATTCAGAGTTGGATTTCTAAAAGCGGTTAATAAAGCGACCTAATTGTTAAAATGTGTGTTGTGTGTTATATGTTCTTTACGAGTCGAAAGTCTCGAATGTTATCTTTAATTTCGCTATTATGCCCTACGACCGCTCAGACTATGCCTCCACACCTGGTGGCGCACGACGACTGTAGGAGAGTTTAATAGCGAGTAGGACAAATGTTACACCCCTAGTTGTTTTGCTCACAATCTGGTCAATAGCACTTAGTGCATAGGTTAGATAGCCCCTTATTCACTTGTATCACCTAATATAAGTTAATATTAGTAACCTAGTTCCCCCACATCAAGTCACTAGCCTAGTATCAACAGCCTAGGAACTGTTGTGTACCAAAAAATAGGCATAAGCTTTTTGGAGAGGATATTCGCCTCATTGTCAGTGTTGACTGTATCAACTCAACAGCGCAAAGCATTAGGAGGATAATTTAGTTATCCATCTCAACCACGTGCGCCTGAGGGACAAGCGATTGGTAGCGATGAAGACGGTCGGGAGCCCTTGTACCGATTAGAGGGATCCAGTTCAACGAAGCGTCTTGCATCAGCTCAGGGCACCATTCAAGAGCCAGTTCGAAAGGACTGGGCGACAGGAACCACCAATAGCGACGACACTCGCTTTTCTGTCGATCCGATGG